TGAAGCTACACTACCTCAAAGCTCTACGTTCTATAGTGTGACACTACACTACGTCAAAGCTCTACGTTCTATAGTGTGAAGCTACACTACGTCAAAGCTCTACGTTCTATAGTGTGAAGCTACACTACGTCAACGCTCTACGTTCTATAGTGTGACGCTACACTACGTCAAAGCTCTGCGTTCTATAGTGTGACGCTACACTACGTCAAAGCTCTGCGTTCTATAGTGTGACGCTACACTACGTCAAAGCTCTGCGTTCTATAGTGTGACGCTACACTACGTCAAAGCTCTACGTTCTATAGTGTGACGCTACACTACGTCAAAGCTCTACGTTCTATGGTGTGACGCTACACTGTCAAAGCTCTACGTTCTATAGTGTGACGCTACACTGTCAAAGCTCTATGTTCCATAGTGTGACACTACACTACGTCAAAGCTCTACGTTCTATAGTCTGAAGCTACACTACGTCAAAGCTCTACGTTCTATAGTGAAGCTACACTACGTCAAAGCTCTATGTTCTATAGTGTGAAGCTACAGCTGCAACGATCAGTCGATTGACCCAAAGATAATGCAACAATCATTGAGACAATTGATTGAATCAATTAAGTCATTTTAATGCATCAAATGCAGTAAATGGAGATTTCTCTGTTTTATATCAAATCAAAGTGAATATCTGAACAAACGAGATTAAATGAATCTTTGTTCTACAAAATGTCTTTTAAAGTTTCTTTTTGTGTTTCGTTGCAGCGATTTCTTCGGCTCAGCTCCTCAACACACGGACGACTCAACCTGAAGACAGACGCGCGCGCGCGCGCGCACACACACACACACACACACACACACACACACACACACACACACGTACGTACGTTACTGTTTCTGATCAGACTGAATATCCTGGTATGAGCTGAAACACACACTCTTCGTGTCTGCGGTCGCATTCCTCTCACCGTCTGAAGGGCGACGAGGAGCAAACAGGAAGAGACAACTTTCTGTTCAACTTTCACTTCTGAATATTTAGATCATCTTGATTCTTTACAGTCTGTGATTTTCATCTTGGCTCTCGGAATGTCTCCGACTCTCCAACATCTGCTTTGTTAAGCCTGTTCTGACTTGAATTATGAATTAAATATTTCTTGTTTTATGTAACTGTGGTTTTGTTTTTTGGGTGAAAGATACGAAAACTCTGAAAGGAAAATAAACGTCCTCAAAACAACAGGCTTCAGCATCAGACATCAGTATTTAATAAACTGATCAGTGTTTAGTTTGTGTCTGACTAAGTCATAAAAGTCATATATTGTACATATATATGTATGGATACTGTGTGTATGTATGTATGTACAGTGGGTACGGAAAGTATTCAGATCCCTTTAAATTTTTCACTCTTTGTTTCAGTGAGTGCTGCAGAAATTCTTTTGTAACCTTGGCCAGATCTGTGCCTT